TGGAACAGGAAACCCCGGATCGCATTTCTCTCACTCTGCACGGTCCCCACTGGAACACCTCCATGACTGTCTTCTGCCCAAGACCTGGGCTACGCCACATTCCTGGGGTCCTGGTCCCCTTTTCCGTCTAGGTTTTTCTTCCCTCCCCCTCTCATCCAAACTCCAGGCTTCCCCAGGCCCGTCAGCCTCTGGGGTGCTGTGGGCCAAACCCTCCAACCCTCACTCACTGTGGAGTGGGACCGTCGTTCTCTAGCCCCAGGCAGAGTTCTGGTGCTGCCTGAGGAGCCCAGGATTGCCCCCGTGGCCTCCGGAGGGCTGTGGTGTGTCCCCACCCCGAGCTCTGTCTTCACCTCTTGGCCCTTTGATTCCCCACCCGACTGGGCCGCTGACACACCCCGCAGCTTTGCATCTTGTCTGAAAACTAACCTCAAAACAACACGGCGCTGCCAGGTTCCGATTCCTGGGGTTCTGATTGGAACCCTAACAGCCCAGTGTGCCTCTCCTGACACTTGAGTCCCCCTGGGCTGGTACCCTCTCCTGTCCCAACTCAATTCTGACTTTCATGGAGCTCAGGTGTCACCTGGGAAACATCCCCAGGAGGAACCAGGTGAGGCCTCTGGCTCCGTGGGGTAGGATTCCAAATTTGGGTCTTTCCCTGGCTCTGGCCTGCCACGAGGTCAGGCTGGTCTTGATTCCTCTCAGCAGTCCCCAGCCACAAGGACACTCGGGAAACACGGGTTGGGTGATTACCTTCACGCCTCAACGCGCTCTTCCTTTCCACGTTCTCTGGTTGTTTCCTGTCTTACCATCTTAACGTTGGTTTGCCTGTACCTTTTCAGCTCATAATCCTGAATCCATCTTTTTTAATTTTTAATTGACATAATTTTATATATTTATGGGGTGCAGGTGATAGTTTGATACGGTGTACAATGTGTAATGATCAAGTCGGGGTAATTAGCTCATCCATCGTTTCAAACATTTGTCATTGCTCTGTGTTGGGGACATTTGGAATCCTCTCTTCTGCCTCTTTGAATTATACGACAAACTGTTGACTAGACGCTCTGCAGTGCCGGGAACGCTAGGACTAACCCTCCCGCCTCGCTGTGATTTTGTGTCCACTACGCCCCTCTCCCCATCGCCCCACGTCCGTCCCAGCCTGTGGCGACCACCTTTCTGCTCCGCTTCTATGACATCAACTCTTAGCTCCCGCCTGTGAGTGAGATCGTGCGGCGTTTGCTTCTGCGCCGGCCTGTGTCACTCACTGTGATGCTCTGTGCCCGTCCCTGTGGCTGCGAATGGCAGGGCTTGGTGCTTTTTTAGGGCTGGGTGTATATTCTGTTGTGTACGTAGACCACGTTTTCCTCCCCCAGGCTGCTGCGGGTGGACACTGACGTTGGCCCCATGCCCTGGCTTTTGTGCAGAGCTGCAGGGAACGTGGG